CGTTCAAAACTGCCTTTCCCTGCTTATCTTCCCTTCATCAATCCTAATGGGTTTAGTATGTGTTTTCAACAGCGAAGAAACATTAATTATATCTCTGTTCACAATAAAAAGTTACTTGGAGGTTTATATGCATATATGTCATATCTATACACATATATATATGTACATACACACACACACATATGTACATATGTATATATATGTGTGTGTGTATACATATATATACACATATATATCTGTGTGTGTATATATGCTGTTGGTAAAGGGAGAGCCTTGTGTCTAAACTATAGTGTAAAACTATAAATGTAAATTTGGCTCCTAGATGGGAAATTCAAGTCATTCATTCAACAAACACATTCATTCAGCAAACACAGGTTTTGCCCTGGCTGCTTTGTGGACAATGTAGAGATATATCAGGGGCTTGTCCATCCTAGGCAGCCCAGCACTCTGTTTAAGGACAAGGCCACTAGAGTCAGAATTACCCTGGGCAACATATTTGACCTCTCTGAGCCTCAGTTTTCTTTCCTGTGAAAATGAAGCTAATAATAGCACTCACCTTATTGCATTGTTGAGAGGACTGAACAAAGGGCGCACACACAAGAGCTTATCCTGGATGGCCAAGGAAAGTACTCAGTAAAGCTTAGCTATTAGCACTAGTGTTTAATGCGAGACACTGGCCAAAGCAGAAGCAATTCAAAGCAAAAGAGAAAAACAAAACAGAATGATATTAGAAATCTAAATAGGATCTAAATGAATCTGCAAATCGCTCTTCCCTGCTGAGAAAGGAGTTCAGTTTTGACTGTTTTATGTATATATACACATAAGTTACAAAGGCAGAATGAAGGTTATTGTCCATAAACAGGTTAAAAAAAAGTAGCGAATCCGCTTTCAAATTTAATTTTTTCAAGTTAAAAACAGACTCATAACCGAAGTTTAGACATTAGAGAGGAAAGTATTACTCATAATCTCACCACTTTAACATAACCATTATGATTAATTTCAACTAACACCGTTTTTTTAAAAATGAGGTTTCCTTAGTTCATTGTGGTCATTACTGCCTTTTGGTAAAAAGTAATAAACTTATTAAGTATGTGTAAGTTACACATTCACAGTGGTAGTCGGTGCCCCCTTCTGTTTAAGATATTCATAGAATGATAAAACTGCTCATACTTCAATAATCTGACTGACTTTCAAAACACAATGCTAAACAAGATAATTAATAAATTTGCCAATAACTTTTCCTATTTCTACCTATTAAGCCCAGTCTAGACTCCAACCTATGCAAAGAACTATTTTCAGTTTTGGAAGATGACCCTATCTACAGGATCATAAGCTATGTGCCCCGAAACACATCCTGGGATCTCTTCGGCACGGTTCCCACACGCTGGCTTTAAGAAAGGTTGCATATGTGCTCCAGGGGAGGCTGAGATGCACAAAGCAGAGATTGATCTCTGTGTAAATACGTAAACCCGCCTACATTGTTTTTCCCAAATCCTAGAAAGTTGGACCAAATGTTTAGTGTGAAAACCAACACGAACACACTTCCTGGCTGCCGCTCAGGCCAAAGCTTGTGTGTCTTCATTCCTAGCAAATGGGGTGACGGAAAAGAACATGACAGGGAAACACATCTATCTTTGGAGATGCCTCCAATCAGCAAGTGTAGCCAGGATATCTTTATTTTTAGCTTAGTTTTTCAAAAATTTAAAAATTTTTTTTGCTTTTGGGCAATTAATTTTTGTAGACTTTGAATTCCCAGCTCAGAGAATCCTCATATTAGCTGTTTTCTCTCCATATAAAAAGCACTGATTATTCAAACATATTTAAGGTCACTCAACTTTCATAAAGTAAAGGTGAGCTGAGTAGCTTTCTCAGTTTGGGGCACACGGACACTCAGAACCATTTGGACAGGCATCTCCCCACGTCACAGCAAAATGCAGGGAATGGGGGCTGCCCACTATCAATTACTCTTTGTTTCTTACGTGCTGCATATATGCTCTTCTGTGAGTCGGAATGAAGGCTAAGTATTATTGCCCGTATCAGGTTAACACAGTGGGGCATTAGCAGAAGACAACTGGGCAACAGCCCTGTCTAATACATGTGTTCTCTGCTTTAAGAAAAACCCGAAGTATAAAAATCAGAACTAACAAAAAATAAATAGAATCAAAGAATTGAAGACAGCAAGGAGGTACTTAAGGCCTGTCTAGTTGCACGACATAATTTCACAGATGAGGAAGCTGAAATTTAGAGACACGAAGTGGTGTGTCTGTGGTCATGGCCCAGATAATGGCTTGGGAATATGACCAGGTCTCCAGCTTGTTGGGTGCTTTGCTTTACTCCTCCAATGCAATCTGATTGACACTGACCCTTCAGGAAGACCTCCACCGTGCCCATGAAGGCATCCTCTTCTAACAAAGGAGGGGGTGTGAAAGCAGCCCAGTGCCTGCCTGGTCCCAGCTTCACATACCTGTGGGCGTCCTCAGGTGCACATGGCTGTCTGGAGACTGTTTTTTCTGAAGCACCTGCCAGGAGCCCATCCGAGTTCTCGCCACCTCTGCCACTGTACATCTGTAGGCACCTTCATCCTCTGGGCCCACAGAGAAGATCTTGAGAGAGAAAGCCTTGGGGCCTGACTTTGAAACCTGGAGCTGCCCTTGACTTGCTCTCTCTTTGTAGTCATTCTTCAGGCCCAGGACTCCACCAGCGTCCAGGCGGGCAATTTCAATCCCATTGAAGAACCAAATGCCCTGAAGCTGTGGGTTGGGGCCACTTCCCACAACCAGGCAAACCAGTTCTAAGGGTTTCCCTTCAGCAAACGAGCTGTC